AACAGATATAGGGATGGATGCCATTTCGGTTTGGGGGAATCGTCCTAAAGCGCCCATTGGTGTGGCGAAAGTTGTCTGGGATTATTTGCCCCAATCGTGTGTTTCGTTTTGCACGGATTGGGCATGATGGTTGGTCCTTGCGATGTACTTACAAGGTGGTCATTTTTTTGGGGGGGTGTAAGATGCGGTAAAAAGGGCCAAATGAAGCGGCGTAATAAGCGCAGGCACAGCGGTGGATGCGCACGGCAAGTGTGCGGCGAGGTTGCCCACAAGCCGCCTGAACAGAGAATAACATTTCGCTAGCTAGGTAGCTAGCTAACTAGTAAATCAGTTTTTTTTTTCTCTCTCTCTCTCCTTATTTTTTCCTTATTTTTTCTCATTTTGGACAAGCATTAGGCAGCCATGTCCATAGGAATTTTATCATGATGCACATAATTCTCTATTGTGAAATCCGAAATGGTAAAATCCTCAATGTTCTTCACTTCCGGGTTTAGCTTAAGCGTTGGGAACGGGTAGGGGATTCTGTTTAGCTGCACTTTTAGACTGTCTATATGATTGTTGTAGACGTGGGCATTGCCCAAAATGTGTATGAACTCTGCAGGTTGGAGATTACACACCTGAGCAATCATGTGTGTGAATATGGAATACGAAGCGATGTTGAAGGGAACCCCAAGACCCAAGTCACAAGACCTTTGATACATAATGCATGATAGTTTCCCATCGAAAACGTAAAATTGACATAAGATATGGCAAGGAGGTAAAGCCATTTGATCCAAATCTTTTACATTCCATGCACATAGGATAATTCTCCTACTTGTTGGTTCATTCTTTATCAAATGGATAACATTTTTTAATTGGTCTACCCCTTTATCTTCGTAATTGTCATACATGTTTGTGTATTCAGCACCGAAATGTCTCCATTGGAAACCATAAATGGGTCCCAAGTCATTCACTTCTCTATGAAATAATTTCCTGTTGTCAAGGAACTCCCTCGTTCCATTTGCTTCCCATATCCTCACGTTTTTGTTTAACAATGTGTTTCCGTTTGTTTCTCCTCGAATGAACCAAAGCAATTCCTCAATTATTCCCCTCAGAAATAATTTCTTCGTTGTTAATAGGGGGAAATACTGACTTAGATCAAATCTCATCATGTAGCCAAATTTACTCATCACTCCCACACCTGTTCTGTCTCCTTGTTTGTTTCCATTCATGATGATGTCGTATATGATGCCTAGGTATTGGTACTCTGGGTGCTGCTTAATCTTCAGGTTGTTGTAAATTTTAAAATCGTGCATGTGTTCCGGGTTTTTCTCTCCCACTTTGTTGTTAAAGCTGAAGTATACGAGATCGTCTTCCTCTGCGTCGGTGTTGTTCTTCTGCCACTGGCACGCGGGGGCGCTCTTTCCCCATTTTTCCTGCCGCGTGGTCGTGACGTTGGGGAGGGTGCAATTCGGTACACTGCAGCTCGGCGCGCCACATTCCACTTTGTCGCAGTTTTCCGAACCGCTGTCCGCTGTGCTCCCATTGGAGGCGGCCCCGTCGACTTCCTCCCCCACTTTGCTGTAAATGAGAAAGTCCAGAGTGCAGCCCTTACAGTTGTACACTTCGCTAACGGATGTCACCCGAAACTGGCTTTCGTCAAACTCGGGGAAGAGAACGTCACACGGGTACGCGTTGTTAATCCTCGTGAAGTATATTTGCTTAATTAAGTTCCTATTTAGACATTCCTTATAAACTTGCGCTCCTCCAATAATGAAGCATTTGTAGTATCTCAGCTTCTTCAGAATCAGCAGTAGGTCCTCTATGCTGTGAATTAAGAAAATCTTCTCCTTCACCTCTTCTTGTCTCAGCGTCTTGGAGAGCACCACGTTGATTCTGTTTGGGAGTGGCTTGTACTGTTTTGGGATGCTCTCCCAGCTGCTTCTCCCCATTACCACAATGTTTTGCAGTTTCGTCGTGTCATCCCCCATTCCTACAGTGTGGCCACTACCGTTGGTGTTGTCTCCCGGCTGTAGAGTATCGTCACTCCCCCCCGAGGCTTCCCTCTGCAGGTACCGCTCCCTCTTCCACTTCAATTGCTCATACTTTGACTCATCCACGTAGGTCGTCACTGAGCTGAAGTACTTCATGTCAACGGAGTTGCATTTCCACGGGAGAGTCCCGTTATTCCCGAGACCCCTAAAGGTCCGCGGGCCGAACGGTTCATTCTTTATCCCTTCACTGGGAGGGGCCACCTTGCAGCATGCGCAGATGGCGTAAATGTCGAATATCTCTGAAAGGTCCTCCATGGGTCTCAGGGGTTAAGAGGTTACTCCTTCGTTATGGGATGGCGTGTGCGCTGGTGCCAAGTTGGGAACACGAGGAATCAACTACCCGGCTGAAAGAATCAATACAAGGCGACGCGATGGTCCCGTTATATGGCTCCACTGGGTGAATGATGGTGAACTACTCTGCTGGGGAGCACGCTGCTCACTCGAAAAGTGGACTCCCTATGGAAAGGTACAAATTTCGCCTTAACAAAAAGGTTCCCGCTTTATTGGGTGGTGGAGCAAGAATCTATTTTACACCACGTAATTTGATAAAACTGCAAAATGGGCTGTGGATGATTTATTTTATTATTATTTTATTTTTATTTTTTTTTTTCATACCACTAGGGGGAGAAAGCCCAGCTCGTTCACCCGTTACTGTCTCTGTTTGTGGTTCCCCTAAATGGGTTTCACTTTGCGGCGACAAAATTGCGCTTCGCGAGCGTAGTGCTTTTACGCCCCGTGCTACTGTCGAAACCACAGGGAGAAAAACTGAGGCGACATTCGAATTGTCGCTCCGCATGCGTCACATTAGTAAAGTTGAATACTGCCAGAGTTGCCCCTTTGTGTGCGTGTTCAAAGGGGAAGTGGGATGGAGTCCGACAGGCCATATGGTCACGTGGGGGGAAGAAGCGGCCCGTTTTAAGGGAGTGGCAAATCCGCCCCAGTGAGCGTTCCCCCTCGGTGAGCGTTTCCCCCCTGTGTGCATATAACTGTGATCATTTTTCTTTTACCGAATCGCTTGGCTGTTCACAAAAATGCTGCAATGCAAGTGGGTCACGAGCTAGCTTCTGAATGGGAAAGACGCAGCAATGTGCCTCTTTAGACAATTGCCATGTGGGGGGGGAGAAGCACAGGGGGGTTATAAAAATGGGCACGCTACATAACTCATCCATTTTTGTGTCCTTATACTTCTTTTTCCGTGCCGAATATTTCCCATTTTTATGCCAATTTATGATGAAAGGTTCTGCTTCTCACCTTTAGTGAGGAAGTTATTTTATTTTATTTTTTTTTTTTGTGCCATAGGGAGGAGCTCTTTCACTCCCCTTCAGGACATGTCAGAAGAACAATGACATGATGGAAAAACATTTGCAGCCAATTTTGTGAACCGTTCCCCACGAATTTCATGACCCAAATTTACAAAAAAAAGAAACCCTCGAGAGGGATACAATTTATTTCGTCACATGGCAAAGGTGACTTTTGGCCCTGCATAAGTTATCAGTTGGCTGGATTTTCTCGCACGGGGAAGAAAAGGAAAAAAAAAAAAAAAAAAAGGAAAAATTTGAGAAAAGAGGGAATACATCACTATAGATGGCTTTCTTGAAAAAGAAGGAATTTCCCACATTTCTCTGTCGCTTCCTCCTTCACTGAATTCCCCTCTACTCGTCGTTGTTGTCACATGTGGTGAAGTCCCAAAATGGACGATTAGGATGTAAACACACGGCCCTTCGCCAGTTTAATCATATTTTGTGTGCATGCGTATTAGCGGAAAAGTCTAAATGAGGACATGTCCAACCAGTGAGAAGTTACTTTTTTTTTTTCTTCTTTCTTTTTTCCCTTGGCCCTTTTCTGTCACTCTCCCCTGCGTAAGGCGCAACTTTGCAAATGGGAAGTTCCCCTCCGGTGATCCTCCCCTTCACGCAAACGCAATTTTTTTTCTCTTCCCATCTTCACATTCTGGAAATAAAAGTGCATGCTGAATTGGGAAGTATATAGAAAAAAAAAAAATCCTTTCGCTGCGCTTTCTCCAATGACCAAATACAGAACACATCACACATGCACGTGGTGTGCTCTTCCCAGACATGCTCGTTCGAACAACTCTGAGGAGGCTCATCTCCGTTCGAAATATGGAGGCTGACTGGGGGCCTTGGCAGAGATGGGGGAGCCTTCCCCAGCGATGTCTGCACGCGATCTGTGGATGCGATTTGTGAGGGACGTAAAAATTGATGCGATCAGGGGCGGCTTCCCTGCTTCGGCCCTGGTGCGGGCTCTCATCTTCTTCTCTGTTCGTTTGGCTGGGGCCGAGGGGCCAAAAAATGGTCAAAGAATGGCGAAAATGCAGCGGCTACATAATGGAGAAATAAAACCACATTAATGCCACAGTGATGTTACAGTGATGCGACAGTGATGCCACATGGACACGGCTACGAAAACCCCACGTTGCGTACCCCTTCCAAAAATAGAGAAAGTCAAGTGAGCCTGAAGCGAAGCCCTTGACTAATCCGTTGACTCCAATTTGTTCCCCCATTTTTACGTCCATTTTTTGCGCCCATTTTTATGCCCCTTTTGAGGCGAACCCTGGGACAAAAGACGCCCATGCGCATGGCCAACTGTTCGATCCCCCCCATAATAAACTCTTTGTGGCTCCACATCCGAACAGACAAGCCGCCCACACGCAAGCGTGACCCCTTTTGCCGCTTGCACATCATTTAACTCTGACCGTTACACGATAAGCTTTGAAATGTAATTGAGGCATGCTTGTAACCTCATTACGTAAAAGATTAATTTCCCTTAAAAGTTTTTTTTTTTTTTTTTCCTTTTTTCAATCTTCCATAATGTACATTCTCCTACTCTCTTAGTTTCACAGGTGTTCCTTTGTGGGGAGCCACCAACGAACGGAGCCCTTGTCGTCAGATATCCAGTTTGTCCAGCTGGCAGACTGTCCCATGGGCATCTCCCTCCGTTTGCATTTAGCCCAGTGCGTGAGAACGCCTATTCCTCAGGGCAGAAGTCTCCCCCCCATGTGGAGTGATTCGCCCTGTGAGGCAATGTGTACACATATGCACATCTCTATTTGTGTGTGTTTGTGACGAGGCGCCCCCTTCGTGGCAGCAGATCTGCCCTTTTTTTTTCTCTCTCTTTTTTTTCGTTCTTTTCCCCATTGAAAGCCCAATGATCGCCCCTACTTTTGCCACCTTTCCGTTACGCGTCCATTTTTGGAGTGTCATTTTTCCAACTCTGTCTGATGTCCCCCTTTTCTTGCCTCCACTTGGCAGTCGAAAATAGCAAGGCGCTGCCACAACAACACGCATTGACCTGATCGCTAGCCTCTGCGAAAGGATGGAGTCTGCGTTCCTTGATGAGTCCTTCCTGAGCGATGAGCTGAACCAGATAATGATTGAGTTCCCCTTAAAGGATCAATTGGACTGTCTGCAGAAGCTGCATTGCTGCTCGATTACTCCTGATGACAGTCCCACTATCAGCGCGGAGATGTTCTGCCCCCCGACTCCCCTCACGGGGGAGCACTTTGCCTTTCTGCTCGAGAGGAGGGCACCTGGTTTAGAAGCTATCGAGAGGAACTCAACTGGTCCAGAGGCTATCGAGGGGAACTCATCCGATGTAGGAGTAGGTGAGTGGTCCTCCCCCACTGAGGAGCTCCACACCGCTAACCCGCCAAGTGAGCATCTCGTTACCGCTGACCCTCCCACTGAAGACCTCCCCATCGCTACCCCACCAAATAAGGATCTCCTTACCGCTAACCTCCCCATCACCAACCCCGATCGAGAGAAGCTAATGAGCGACATCCTCTTCCTGTGCTTCCACAAAAACGGGTGCGAATACGTAATAAAAAAGATGAAGGAAAATGAGGACACCGAGGAGAAGAGGATAATTCAAAAATCGCTCCTACTCGATGCAATGTCCCTATGTCCAGATGTATACGGAAGTTACGTTGCGCAGAGTGTTTTCGACTTAAGTGACGATACATACAAGGAACGATTCACAGATCAATTTCTTGGACAGACAAGATTCCTCTCTCTGCACACGTATGGATGTCGTCTCATCCAAAAGTCACTGGACTCTCTGTGCAATGAATACAAGAGTAAAATATTCTTTCAATTGCAGAACGATCTAATTACCTATATTTGCCATCAGAATGGGAATCACGTCATTCAAAAATGCATTGAGGTGTTACCCTCTGGACATATCGACACCATCATAAGTAACATAGAAGACTATTTGCCGTTCTTAAGTTCACATGCTTATGGATGTCGTATCGTCCAGCGCATATACGAAATTGGAAATACCAATCAGATAAATAGACTAAATGATAAGATCGTTAGGAAGATACACTTAATTAAAAACCGGTATGGTAATTACGTCATTCAGAAATGCTTCGAATACTCAGATGACACAGTCAGGTTTATCATCACAGATGAGATTGTCAGCGATATATACAGATTGTCTTCTCACAAGTATGCCTGGTAAGTTCTGGCCCATCGAATGGGGCACATATTGCTATGCTGGGGGTTGTCACAAAGGGGGAAGGCACGCATGCATGGAAGGGTAACATATTACATCACTTTGGTGTTGTATACAATATGCCGGGGAAATGGACTACCTTATTTTATTCTTTCTGATTTGATTCTTTCTTATTTTATTCTTTCTTATTTTATTCTTTCTTATTTTATTCTTTCTTATTTTATTCTTTCTTATTTTATTCTTCTTTATTTTATTTCGTCTCTCTCCCCCCCCACACAGCAACATTATCGAGAAAATACTCCTCAAGAAGGAGTACAAATATAAGAAAAAAATAATCAAAAAAATTGTGAATGATATTTCGGATGGGTAAGTGACGCACCGTTTTACAGTGGACGGGTGCCTCTGGAGGGGAGAAACAATTTGGGCTTTCCCTTGGGATTCTCCATAAAAAGAAGCGGAAAGAGCGTTGCCTATTGTATATGTTCTCCACCACTCCGTCTTCAAACTTTTACTTCCTCACCACGTGGTCCCCCTTTCCCCCCAGGAACGACAGCATCATCACGATTTGTAAAGACTGCTACGGTAACTTCATGATGCAGAAACTGCTGACCACGTGCAGGCGGAAGGAGAGGACCGTAATTGTCAAGACCATCATAGAGAACGTCGACAAGTTGAAGGACGAGACGTACGGTAAGGCCTTCTACGCACTCTCCCGAAGGGGGGAAGAAGCCTTGATAGAGGAAAAGCACTACTGACGTGATTGCCCCTTATAGACACATTTTTCTTACCTTCACTTTGACATCACCATACCGTCCAATTTGCAGGCAAGTACATCTTGAGAGCGATCAGCAATCTGGAAACGTAGAACCTAATTTACTTCACTATGGTCCTCACAGGATGCCTCCCGCACGCCCCGAAAAGATAGAGGCGGAATTTTTTTCTCTTTTTCTACATATAATGAGCATACAATGCATAGTTGTACCTTCCCCCTGAGGCACGGGTCGAACCGGCGTCTGTTTCTGCGTTTGCCTCTTCATCTGAGTTTGTTTCTTCGTTCGTTTCTTCGTTCGTTTCTGCGTTCCCGTGTTCATCTCAGTTTGCTCCCTCCGCGTCCATTGCGCTTTATTAGAGGTCCACGTTTGATGACAGCGATACATCTGATGAGAGCTTCCTCAACTGTCTATTTCAACCGCGTTCACCTTCCATTCCGACTTCTTTCAATTTTGTGCCCCTTTTTCCCAATGAACACCCCACCGTAATGGTGCCTCCACTAGGACTCGCATCTCGCAAAGGAGCTCTCCCACTTTTTCCTTCGCATTTGCGCGTGTAGCATCCATTCGCCTGGATTTTCCCCGCCTAGCCGTTCCTAACCGATGTGTGAGGAGGGCATTGAAGAAGTCACCACCCTAGCGGTACTTATATTAAAGCAACTTTTCGTTCGTCATTTCAAACGGTTCAGTTAGGTGCAGCACGGGGGAGAGAAAAAGAAAAGAAGAAAAAAAAAAAAAAAAAAAAAAAAAAAAAGAATAATAAATAAAAAATGCAGAAAAAGGTAGATTAACGTAGGTGTACACATGTCCGCGCATGCGCATGTGCATATAGATGCGATTGGTTATTCCTCCCTCCGCAGGAGGAAAAAGTACGTAGGTGGATAGTTATATGCACGTACTCACAGACGCGAGTATGCATGCCGGGTGGCGGTTATCAGAGAAGGCACCCCCAAAAGGCTAGCCCCCGTGGGGCATTCAAAGGAATGATAGGATGGGTGCGAGATCTTCCCCGGGGTCACCTCGGCGCAAATTGATCTGTTTTTTTTTTTCTTCTTTTTTTTTTTTCTCTTCTTTTTTTGAAAGCGTAATGTGCGAAATGAGTAGAGTGGTTAGAATCACTTTAGCTGCGCGGGGCAGAGCGCCAGACTTATTGCACCGATTCGTCACAGGAACCATCCGAAGTGTACTTCTTACACACGCAGGAATAAACGAGGACGTAATTTCTCATATCGTCTATTATATTTTCGTTATCGAATCTGAGCCCACTCATTTTTGACATATCGTCAATAGGGATAAATTCAAAGAGCCTTTTTCCATCAAAGTTTGCGCTATCATAAGAGAAGGGGACGCACATCTGATACGTTTCGGGGCACCCGGTTTCTCTGCAGGAAATGCCTATGTTGGGCATCTGAACCCACTGGAGAGTTTGCTGTAGTAGGTTCTGCTGGTCTGCAAAGAGGAGGTGTACACGCGCGGGGGTGTCACCACACAGAGGGGAAGAACACAGGGTGGAAAAACACAGATTGTAAACACATATGTTGCGCAGGAGCTACTGCTTACCTGGCTGGGACAAAGAGTCCACCTTTTTTATCACTCTATCATTCGCCGCTTCGAAAAAGGTGTACTTATTTGAGCTGGGCTCACTTGTGTTCTTCTCTTCGTCCATGTTATCCCCAAATCGTCTCCACGCGTTGTGTGGTGAAACATCACTGAGGAGTCCTACCCATCGGGAGCGAATTCTGGACATTTTTCCTTCGGGTCGGCGGTCCATTTCGCCTTCCACTTCGTCTTCCATTTCGTCTCCCACTTTGTTTCCCACATTGTCTTCCACTTCTTGTCCCACTTCGTCTCCCACTTTGTTTCCCACATTGTCTTCCACTTCGTCTCCCACTTCGTCTCCCACTTCGTCTCCTACTTTATCTCCCATTTCGTGTCCCACTTTGTTTCCCACATTGTCTTCCAGTTCGTCTCCTACTTTATCTCCCATTTCGTGTCCCACTTTGTTTCCCACATTGTCTTCCACTTCGTCTCCCACTTTATCTCCCACTTGGTCTTCCATGTCGCCCTCACTCTGTGTGTCCGTCTTCTGAACTACGCTGAATTTTCCCACCTCTGTCGGGTCGCTCGCCCCTAGGTGGTGCTGCATGTTGTTGTCACTCGTCTTGTGCCCCCCCTTCCCCTTGTTGAGCACGCGAATGTTGCACTTGGCAACGGGGAAGAAGAACCCCCCTTGGTCATGTCCAACCAAAGTGATAAGCGCCCCGAAGAGGGACAAAAGAAAACCAAACGAATAGCGCACCATGGTTTGTATTGAAGTATTAGGTGTCGTTCGAAAGGGTCTATATCCCTGTGTTTCTTTTTTTTTCGTTTTTTTCTTCTCTGTATGGAGTACCTATTGGAACTGATCGCCTACATGTGTACGATTCTGTTCTGGTAATAATCTCACACCTTTAGGGAAAGGATGCCAAAAAGGTATGCGCGGGGAAAGGGTAAAAAAAAGAGAAAACAAAAAAACGGAAAAAAACGGTTAAGCGTAAGGAAAGGGCGGCACCTACATATGGGGTAGCGCACACACATACATGTAGAAGGGCTGCTCATCACTCAACTTTGTTTCATTCTTACATGCACATTTTGGAAAAATTCGGAGGGGAAATAGTGTCCACTGGGGGACCCAATCTGTGTGCACCTCAAACGTGATCAGAATTTTTTTTTTTTGTTTAATTTCAGTGTATTCCAAATTTTATTCTGAACAGGTCAGGAAAAAAAAAAAAAAAAAAAAAAAAAAGAAAAAAAAAACTCCATACAGCTAGCCAACTTCTCAACTGTAGGACGTGTGTTTGATCTTTATGGGGATCATTTTCTGATCACTTCTTTTTTGGAGCTGTGAAGATGTCTGCTTAGAACGGATAGGCCGTAACGATCCCCCTCTTTGGCAGTTCAACAAATGGGAAATTAAGGGGATACATTCTTCTTATTCTTCCCCCACGGTGAAATCCGTTCTCGGGGGGAAGTGCGACCTCCCCACCAGTTTACACATGTGTGCGGTCAAAGGGATAGGTGAACACAGGCGTAAATGGCTATGCATGTCTATGCCCATGTGTGTATATTCCCATGTGTATATAGGAATATACGTGGATGCGCCTGCGAATAGCACCACAGAAGTTGTGTCGCCTCAGCAGAGGTTCTTAAAAATGAAGCAATCGAATGAACCGACGTGGAGGGACAAAACAATCGTCCTCTTAACTTTACTGTGGTGGTTATTTTTCACAGGAGTAAGCAAAAATGACCAGGTCAACAATGAGAAAAGATAAAAAAAAATAATAAAAATAATAAAAATTCGGCTCAGTGGCACATGCGACAATCTCAAATGAAGCTTTTCAGCAGTGTACCTAGTAAGGATGCCTCCCTCATCAAATATAACTCTCCACTCTTTGTGAACATGTCCCTTGTGGTGATACGAATGAGTAGCTAACTGGGAGAATATGCGGACACATTTCATTGCTTCTCTATGCACACGGAATTGATTATTTTTTTTTTTTTTTCTCTCTTTTTAAGGGTGAAATTGTTACCCCCCAAGTGCAGAAATTACAACTTTCCTTGTTCTCAAAAATGTCATGCCGCTCTGTTTGGAAGCTTCCTCCGATCCAACTGCATTGGTGGTCGTTTCAGTGCGGATGCTCCAATCGTACTCTATCGAGTGGGACAAAAAAAAATCGGTTCTTTAAAAAAGGAGAGATATCGCGTCAGTGGATATCTGATGGTGTAGACTACTGTTGTCATAACACTCAATTTATCAGGAGAGACACTCACATCGTAGAGCCCTTTTTTAATGGCTCCCCACTTGGACACTTTGCCCTTCCAGACGAAGGCACTCTCTTTCTATATGTCCTGTCAGGACTTTCCACTTTTTCGTTCATTTCGCTGGAGTTACAAAAAAAAAAAAAAAAGGAACATCAAGGGGAAGGTTGTCATTATGTACAATGCTGCCGGCAGTCCTTTATCCTAAATGACAGCGTTTCGTAGAGAAAGTCAGATGCGCACGCACGCGGGTATGATTAACCTGCACCCCCATCCCAGGTTTCCTTGAATTGTGCTAATCGGGATGTACTTTTCGGAGGCTCCTTCTGCTTCGCTCTTTATCCCCTTGGCGAGGTGAAGCCATTATTTTATTTTTTTTTCTCCCTTTTTGTTTTCCTTTTTTTTCTGCCTTTTTTTTTCTTTTCGCTTGACCGATCAGGCGTTCCCGCCCATCAGCTGCACAACTGCAGCAAAAAAAAAAAACACACAAAATGAGCCTCCCTTTGGGGATAGTTTACCCATTTGAAACCTTACCCCTTCTTAACACCATACCACTATAATGAAAGAGAGAAAGCGGCAGAATCTGAGGCGATTTTCAAATTCGTTCCTGTACGAAGTGGAGGATTTTTCAGTGCTGTGGTGAGGGGAAGCCCGGCCGTCACACTGTAGGTTCCGTTTTTATGGCCTCGTTCGGACGTGGGGCAGACGTGCTATAGAGGAACGACAAGGAGACATGCAGCCCAGTGTGTCCTTCGCTTTGATTTCCCGCGATATGCGCGCAAAGGGGGAGGGGGTGTACTACATAGGCAGTTAGGAGCAGGTAGTAGTAAGTGGCTGCTTTATCGATAGGCGCAGCCACAGCAGCAGGAGCAGACCGAGCAGTCGCATCATAATGGAGGAGAGACTGAACCTGTACTTCTATCCGCTGCAGAGACTGAAGATCTATGGAGAGCCAAACAACATAGAGGTGGCGCTGAGCCCCCTTAAGCAGACGGAGCGAGGAAAGGAGGAGGGGATAGAATCCCTAAATTGCAGACCCGTGGAAAACCCACACATGATATACGACTCTCTAAATTCAAACATACTGAATGAGATTAAAAATTTTTACGCGAATGATAAGGTGTATCATGTGGTTGCCTCCACTTCGCAATCGAAGCGGGGGAAGGCGAAGGGAAGGGAGTCAGATGATGAAGGAGAGGAGGAGGAGAACGAGGAAGGGGATGGGGAAGATGCCGACGATGGCGAGGAGGACTACCAAGACGACGATTGCTACTACACAGATGGGGAGACAAATCCGGATGAAAATAGCGAGGCTCTTCCGACCCGATCCGATCTGCAGAAGGGCCCATTTGGCGATGAAACCATGTCCAAGAAAAGGGACAACTCGAACAAGAAGCAGGTGCCCCGCCTCCGCTGCGACGGGGCAACCAACCCAAAAGTCAGCGACAGGAAAAGGGCAACACAGAGTTGCATCGATTTCCTGCGCAACTCTCGCAATTATGAAAAAGAAATACGACGAGACCAGACCAGAGTTCGGGCTTCACTAGACGTGGTTAACACTCTGGCCACCTTTTACATCGACAAGAGCATGCAGCTGGATAGCAGGTATGCATACGACCTACGTTTCAACGTTAAGTGCCCCGTTCTGGTGATGCCCGGTGGATTCTACAATAACCAAGTGAAGCTGATGGAGGCTCAAATTGGCGAGTGTATTTACGACGAGGGTGACGGCAGAGGGGGAAGCCACTTACCAGGAGGAGACCCCTTGCCGGGAGGAGGCCCCTTGCCAGGAGGAAGCCGCTTGCCCAGTGATTACCTCCCCGTGAACCTCCAATTTCGCTTCGACAACGAAGTCACCATCGTGCCGACGAACCTCTCCACCGGCAACTACGACGCAAACGAGAGGGGGATCCTTCCCACATACTACAGGTATGCGCAGAAAGTGAAGCTCGCCAAGGAGTATAACAGAAAACGATCATATCGAAATGTGTACAAAATTGAGAACAATCATCTTCTGTACCAACTGGATAGATGCTTCACCGAAGTGAATGAAAAAGAATCCATTGCTGTCAGCAAATATTTGAAGATAAAGGAAATAAAAGCGGACACTAATAATATTAACGAGTCGGTTATCTATGCCAGGAATGACGTCGGGTTGGTTATTTTCCAAGTGCAGTACGCTCCCGGGGAGGCGTTTAACTGGGATGGTGCCCTGTGGACGGGAAATGAAGAAGAAGATCCACGCGAGGAGCGCGATTGGCATGGTTCACGAGGGAAGGGGAGAACTGCACGTAAGTCATTCAGTAGCACTGTAGGTAGAACCCCTGACCAGGCGTTCCCCATTTTGGATTACAAAATAACTATGGCCAAGGACATCCTCCTCTTTGACAGATTGATGCAGATCTGTCCGAGCACGTGGACATACGGGAGGTGCACACTTCTAGGCAATTACAACAGTCTGTATTCCTACGATTTGGAAACGAACTTACTACAAATCGTGGAGTTGAAACGGAGAGGGGGATACTTTAAAAATTACGATACGGCTCTCTGTTTGTGCTATCTCCAAGATGACAACACGCTTCTACTCGGATGTGGCAGCCTCTACATATACGACAAAAGAGAGCAATTTCTGTCCAAGTTTAATACAAACAATAGTGGCGTTAAGAGAGTATCGAAGAAGACGATCGGGCAGAAAGCACGTGATCAGTTGTTGACGGGAATCCCATTAGAAATGAAGACAAATGCCGGAGGAAACATATTTCATGAGGATAAAAATAGATCCCATTTTAATAGAGGCTACACAGCAGTTGCGAAGAACCCAGATTTTTCCTTCATCGTTGCATCTGTGAATACATCCTTTAACGTGATTGAAGTATGGGATCTAAGAAATCAATATGAACCTGTGTTTCTCTTCCCACTAAACATATCAGAATTTACCGAGTCCCATTTTAGACACATCGAATGGATGTCCGTCACCCCCACTGGACACAACCGATATGAGCAGAGGACCACTTACAATTTAGTTACCTTCTCATATTATGAACACTTTGTCTACATAAGGAAGATTCTAATCCGTGATGACTTTACTAGCTATAAAGATTTAGGGATGGAGGCGTACACAAATCGATCTTTCCCCTTTGCGTATAACTACACCTTTAAGGGGGAACCTTCTGGAGGGAGGGATGGCACACAGGTGGAGGGGAGACCCTTTGACAGAGGATCCATTCAGGGGGGAAACCCTCCCAATGGGAGAAGCAGCACTATCATGGGGTATCGTGGAAAAGAAGACGGGGAATCCACTTCACTGCGCTCACATAGCGATGACGCTGAGAAGAATCCTTCTCCAGATGTGGCCCCTCCCCAGGAAGAGCTCCGCGCAAACCACATGCAGATGCGAGAGGACATACCGTTTAATCACATATTTAGTTACAAAACGGTGAAGATGCTTGTGGGGGACTCCCTCCTCGTAGATACAGCCAAGTTCACTCCGATGCAGAAAAACAAAACGGAGCCGATAAGACTCATCTCCGACCATTCGAAATTCAATTCGATTAACACCAAAGTGTATAATTTATTTTTCGGGCTGTATGGAATGAAATTCGTGCAGTTATGTGTCCCAGTTTTGTATTGTAGGAGGCAGCCTGAGGGGGATTCTCTCGGGGGGGGGACTACTCCTCCTACGGGGGTAACTTCTCATGGGGTAGCTCCTCCTGAGGGGGACTCCCTCAACCACTGCGATGGGAACGCCTCACCTAGGGAATATCTCGAGGAGCGCTTCTACTTTGACGGGAAGAACACCAGAACGTGGAAATATTCTGTCAAGAAGAGGGACTCACAGAGAAGGGTATCCCTCGTCAGGAGGCAAGAAATCGTGGGAATCAAATTAGACTATGTCCAATTTATTCTGCACACGAATTCTGGTGGGCAGCTATTCTGCACGCCCGTTAACTTGTGCGTGAAGAATTTGGCTGAAGAGGAGGCTAAGGGGTGGATCCCCATAAATAGGTCCTACGTGGCGAGTACCTACCGCAATGAGGGCCTACCCGGGATGCTCAGCAGGTTCGCCGACCTGGTGCAGAATAGGCGGTGCGGTGAGGAGACGGAGCAACGCGGTGGAGAAACTTCGCCGCCCGCTGAGGCAACAGCGAGTGACGACCGCCCGCAACAGTTAGCAGACTCGTCGCCAAGTCCACACCGAGAAGGAGAAAGACCACACTTCCACAGCGAGGAACAGGACGACGAATTTAATTTTCTCAATTTAGACAATTTTGAAGGGATCATGTCAAATGGGGTTGACCGCACAGAAAAGGATACACATACCCTTGAGGTAAAAAAAAAAAAAAAAAAACTGAATGGGTGAGCGGTGACTGGATGGATGGCGAACGGATGGAGAAATTTATCCCCCCCGTGTCCAATGCTGAAGCTGCACAACCCCCTGACTTCCTCCACCTGAATAAGGACAACTACGAAATGCTAAAACACACACCGTCTCAGTTTTGCAATGTAACGTATGAGTTCTTGACTTACCTATTTAAGCTAATCTGTCGAGACAAAATCCTTGTCGTGCAGAATAATACGAATGCCATAAAAATAGGTACCCTCAAAAAAGGGTTCCAATTAAGTAGAACGCTTGCCTTAAAAATTAAGGGGTGCCTTGAGAGGGAGCTATCCTCGCGTGCCTCGCCATCCGCTATCGCTGCGGAGAAATTGTCCGACCATGTCTATGAAAAAACGGGCGAAACAAAGGGTTTATCCGAGGCTAGGCATCATTCCTACTGCCGCTCCTTCAGGGCGTCCCTTCCCACCCCAGATGAGACTGCCACACAGGGTCCACATAGTAGTACATTCCCCGCCTTACACCCCGCTCCTGCTAACTGCAACAAGGAAGAAGCACCCAATGCTGGGGGGAAAATGACCACTGAGGATGCTTATTCGAAGGAAGGGGAAGAAGAAGAGGATTTCCCTGAATGGGCAAGGGGAAAAAGGGAGAAAAACCTTACGCAGGGTATCGCTCATGATATGACACAAGATATGGCACAGGATATCAGACAGGGTATCACACACGACACCGCTCAGGATATCACATACGACACCGCGCAATCCATCCCGAAGAGTGTCATACAAAGGGGCACCCCTCGCAGCGGCACCAGTGGAAAGCCCCCCAAGCGCGCGCCAGAACTGTCCGATTTGATCATCGAGCGGATGCAGGAGTGGACACGAGGAGGAAAGCCCCAGAGGGGAAAAGACACCACTAGGGGTAGAACCAGGAAGAAGGGAGAAAAAAAAAAAAAAAAAAAAAAAGCAACTGTCTCCCAGTGCCGTAACAGTGAGACTCTCTGCTCGAAGCACAACCTTTATGAGCTGTTTGCAAAATATAATGTAAGGGACCAATTTAAGCATGACGTCATTCAGACGAATCTTGTTCCCAATTGCAGTTACGTTAATGTGAATTACCTGAATAGAACATTCTTTAGGGAAACGAAATATGCCTTCTGCACTTTTCATTTTAATAAATTTTTTTATGTGCAAACGGTAGCCGATCTGAAGTTGTCTGCATATGGACTGACCGACCAGATGAGGAATCAATTTGTGCAGGACAGCTGTCCCTACGTGACGTACTCTACAAATTTGCAGCCCAGTCGGATACTCAAGGGGGGGCCCCCTACCGGCGGCCGCAGAGGCGAAGTCACCGTAGAAGGCAACGGAGAACACAGAAGAGAACCCAGCGGGGAACTCACCGCAGAACACAGCCGCGGTGATGTGCGCGAATTGTCTAACCACAATGAGAAACTCTTTTACGAACAGAGCGCCTTTAATTTCCCCGCATTGCTGCTAAACCTGCTGGGCGAGAAAGAAAGCGCCGCAACGGCTGAGAGGGGAAGCATCACACACGGGCGGGGGGAAGCAAAAGCAAAATGTCAAGGCAGCAAACGTAGTGACAACGTAGAAGAACAGGAAGGACTCCCCATTGAAGTGAACCCGAATGATGCCCAATTCGGTCAGATCACCAACTTTCTGTCTCCCAATGAGGCTTACCCATTTGACGCGCTGGGAGAATCAGACAACCACGTAGAGGGAGATAACGACTATCAACAGAGCCAGCCGCACAGCAGTGGAAGCAATGTGAATCCCTTTGGTAATTTTGTGCAGAATGGGGGGGAAGAAGAAATTGGCGACTTGTACAAGCCACCCCGAGAAGCTCCACCGCAGGTGGGAGCAGCAGAATGGGGGGGATCCTCCAAACGGGGAGAAGCCGCTAAACGAAGATACCCCCTGTCAGTCCTAACAAACGCGCACAAGATGAAGGAGCTGCTCTTCCTGTACAACCAGGGAGGAGTGCAGCACATACTGGAAGCAATGAAAAGGGCAAAGTTGGGAAGAAAAAAAAAAAAAAAAAAAAAAAAAATGAAAAAAAATGAAAATCGGTTAAAGAAACTCTGCGAGGATATCACCAAAGAGCTGAACAAATGTGTGTCCGTAAAAAACTTCCTCTTTTACGACGCACCCATCTGTTTCTGCCTCTATGGAAATGACCCGAATAATAAAAGGCAATACAACACCTACATTAATTCATATACGTTCCTTTTTGACGTGGTACGTTTCTTCGGCAACAATGCTGCCGTTGGGAATGAAATTGGCCGACTTTACCTGCGTGGACGTATCCCCTCTATGTGCGAAAAGGAAAGTGCTGAAATGGCAGCCCATTCCTTAACTGAAGAAGTCGATCAGAATGGACAAAATTTACGCAAAGAACAATCTTCCCCCCAAGTTGGTGAAACAGGAGACGGGGAACCCTTCTGGGAGGACGACCCCTTCGTGCGACTGAGACGTGCCAGTCGTATTAACCGCCTGGGCAGAAGGGACGGACTCCCCAATTACGATTACCTGTTGCAGAGATTCAAAAGGAGTAGACTACTCCTCATGAGCAAAGACATCACGTACCAAACGTTCCAACACATGCTGCAGAATGAGTACTACATTCCCGTGCCGAAATATATGAAGAACGACATAAAAATGGAGGAACATAACTTCCATTGCACTCCAGTCAGCTGCTTTAAAAATCATGTCATTGGATTTTACAACAAAAAATTATCCGATGTGTATAATTCCATCGACTTTCACGATTTAAAAAATTTCGACATGCACCGGTATGTGTACCACGAATATTTTAACCTTTTGGGTATTCAGACAGACACCACTGGAAGTCCCAGTCTGAATAAGTACATAGATCATGGAAAGGGGAAGTATAGCAATTCCCCTACTTTGGGTGGTTTTAAGGGCGGATACAAAATGGATTGCGCTCTGTTAAACAAGCTATATAAGTTGTGGCCTAGTGAGTCCCACAGCTGCCAATCCAGGGGGGATTATTTGGTAAGTTGTTATCACGACGTT